ACTAAAACTACGTCTTTTAATGTGGAGAAAATTCCTTCAACTTTATTTGGTTGGTTCTGCGTACTTGGTAATCTTCTCCCAACTTGCACACGTCGATCATGCTAACTGTGGTAAGCTTGGGTAATTTTATTGCGTGGTAGTTTGTAACTAGCGTTCAGACATTTTGTACTTATCGCGGATTCAAATTTAACCAATTTCTTCCATATGGTCATTTAGCAAATAGTTATGTCGTCATATGCGTTTACTTTATTCGATATCGACATTCTGAATGATTGGATGTTGTTTGACATCCCAGGTATGGCTGCGCTTGATGTGCATGTTGACAAGGTGCCTACCAGTCTATTACCCACTACTTCGTGCATACTAGTTCAAGGAGATAGTTGGTCGTTGCTGGAGGGGATGGGGTGCTCGGTCCTTGTGGCCGTGCTAGGCTCGAAGAGCGGTTCCATGCACTCAGTGTGTAGCGGACTACGGTCCAGACACCGCCTTGTGTGCGCTTGATACTCAAATACAGCGTGCTTGTTTTTGTCTGTGAAGGAGTGTGGGCCGGCCAGGTTGATGAAATGTGGCCAACCTCCACATGCCTCCCGGTCTTATTCTTTTGGGTTTACACTGGATATGGGGTGTATGGTTGGAGCCATGGGTAGTGCAGCGCAAGCCACCTATGGCCCCTCTGGTGGCGCAGGCGTCCTGCGGTTTGCCACAGTTACAATAAAATGTGTGACCGGATGCCGCCAACCATATGTGCTTGAAACCGAAATTACATGGTATCGATATATCAGTGTGAAATATGTACTGAAAATTCGCTTAAGTACAATTGTCCAAGGTGTGGCTGCAACATGTGCTCCCTGAACTGTTTCACTGAGCACAAAGCAATGTTCAATTGCTCCCGTGTTCGCTAGGTTGTTGGCAAATGCCAAAGTTCTGAGTGTGGGGCATTCTATTTTCAGCAATGTTATCGGTTACTGGAAGTACTAGATCGCAGGAATGCGTTCCGGGAAAATGAATTAGCGCAAGCACGTTTTTATAAATTTTGTTGTTTTACAGTTTTCATACATATATGAGGTTGCATTCATCATGCTTCTTCACTGCAGTTGGGTTAAATCAAGTTACAATTAAACTAGGTCTTTTCAAGCTGGCCAAATTTCATTCCAATTAATTTGGTTTGTTCTGCTCACCTGAATAATCTTCTATTAACTGGCCACATTGCTTACGCTAATCGTAGTTATCTTCGTTAACTGTATTGCGTTTGCAGCATGTTTGAGTAACTTCTCGACATTTTGTACTTCTCGCAGTCTTGTTACTAACCAAGTTACTTCATATGCTAATTTAGCGAAAAGGGACGTCTGCATAGCCGTATACTTTAACACACATATTATAATGTATAATGTCATTTCAAGTGATTGGCTGTTGTTTGACAGTCCCGGTGTAGCTGCGCTTCGCTTGCCTGTTGAAAAGGTGTATATCTGTATATTACCCACTACTTCGTCCATACTGCTTCAAGGAGATAGTTGGTCGTTGCTGGAAGGGATGGAGTGTTCGGTCCTTGTGGCCGTGCTAGGCTCGAAGAGTGGTTCCATGCACTCAGTGTGTAGCGGACTACGGTCCAGACACCGCCTTGTGTGCGCTTGATACTTAAATACAGCGTGCTTGTTTTTGTCTGTGAAGGAGTGTGGGCCGGCCAGGTTGATGAAATGTGGCCAACCTCCACATGCCTCCCGGTCTTATTCCTTGGGGTTTCCAGTGGATATGGGGTGTGTGGATGGAACTGCGGGTGATGCAGCGCAGGCCACTCATGGTCCCTCTGGTGGCGCAGGCGTCGTGTGGTTGGCTACAGTGACAGGAAAATGCTTAACCGGAGGCCACCAACCTGATTTGCTAACCAAGCTGCAGAATATTGGGTGCGAGATCCATACCATGCGGGAACGCCAAGGATCATCCACACCATTCCGACCTTAGTCAAATGTGTCCTTGCTAAAGCATTCACACCCGCTAATATCTGAGCTGGTTTTCAACCAACAGGTGTCAATTCATTTGCCCGGCTGCACTTCCTCCGTTGTTAACAGACAATGTCTTATATGCACCGATACATTTCAGTTCATGCCATACCCGTGCCTCCGGATTGTCAGTGCAGCTCTGCTGTCTCGCTGCCTCCGCATACACCGTCCACCGTAGCATCGAATGCGCTGCCGTTAACAGGCGAGTGCCTCACTTACACCTCGTTCCATATTCGATCACCCAGTACTCACTCAACCTAGTCGTGACTACCGCTCTGCTGCCTCGTTTCCTCCGCCCACACTGTCTGGCTAAACTCGGTAGCGTCCTTTGTTAACAGACATTGCCACAATTGCACATTCCATAGCTGATGCTTTTACATTCTTTCGTAAACGACCCTATAATCATTTTCAGGGCCACCCTCTGTCTCATTGTGCTATCATCCCCTTGCAAGCGTCGGTTTCCCAGTCAACCTAATGCATGGGCCAGACAACTAGGTCACAGGTGCGATGACTCGATCCGTAATATACCATAGCATTATAGAACCCGCTGTTCCATTTCGAATTGTTATGCTTTAGCTACCTAAATTGTTACAGTTGCTCAAAGACCGTAGCTGCAGAAACATTTAGTACTTGGCTACACTTTCAACTTCTGTCACAGAGCCGTCCCGCGACAACTTCAACATAGACGACCGCAGCTAACACGGACAAGGAATGCACCAGTGCTGCATATGTTAGTTTCCGTATCCGTTAACTATCGCCTTTCATGGCGGTCGTGATTTTGTGGCGGTTGTGACTCACCACAATATAAAGTCACTGCCCCGTGGATATCCGGATAATCCTTTCCAATCCACGGATATCATTTTTCCACACGCATACTGCTGTCGAAATCAAACATTCAAGAATGAAACAGCACAATTACAAGTACAAACTACACAGCTACGTGCACACACACACAATTACATACTTATATACCCTCAACACAATGATACACATTTATGGCAATCATGGCGGAGCCTTGCAAATTTATGTGCACGCGTTGTTTATCAAAATTATCCTGCCTGTAAAGGCTGGCCTCGCCTTGTAAAAATAAAAGCTTTAATTATTCACTTAACTGGGTAGTTAGTATCACTTTGCTCGCCCCCCCTACTTGGTCTCCCTCCATGCTGTTAACTTACGGTACCATAAAGGCGCAGTCATGCATTCAACGCCGTATGTAAGCGCATTGTGAACGGCATTTGCTTGCACCATTTGCTTTTAAAGCATTTCCATGCACCTCATTCATTCAATACTTGTAGCCATCTTGCATCCGGGGAGCGCACATGATTAGCCAATTTTCAGTATTCTCGCTTTGCGGGTTCTGAGCGTTTGCTACGCCTACCACTTAGACACAAATATTTGCAAATAGTTTGAACGGCCCATAGTGCAGCATAACTGGAACCATGCTCACTGGCACAAACACATCCTTTAGCATCCTGTAGCAGTTGGTTTAATTGGTTCTGTGCGCTGGTTCCCTAATCCAAACTTCCACCATCTGCAAGTGCCACTTCTCCAACAAAGATTTCACGCCGCTTACTATGCTTGGTACGCTTTAGAACTTGGTGACACGTAGTCCATAGTAATGTCACAAACCACTTGCATTTTACGGTTGATGCGTAGGATTAATGTCAGTAATTAAATAATTATATGGTTCTGCATATTTCATAAGCTCCAGCCAGGATTGTGCAAACTAAAGCCTGAGCCCGTGTGAGGACTTTGATTTCGTCGTCCTTCAATATCAACAGCGCAGCAAAGCTTCCTGCAATTTATGTTATGCGGCGCAAATATGTTTACATTTACACTTTCATTTCGCAAGCAGTCTGCAAGAAGGCCTACTGACATTTTTACCCTGACATCAAAATTTCCGTACCCACGCGTCTTTCACTGTTCAGATGCCTTTCGTGAGAATGAACCGCGACAGCATTGCTTTATATGGAACAATTTATGGTTGCCTATTAATCCTCTCATAAATACACATTAAAAGTTACGTATATATTTACATATGTATTTGGTTGGTGGCATCCGGTTTCGGATTTGCCTGTCACTGTGGCCAGCCACAGTACGCCTGCGCCTACAGAAGGACCGTGGATCTTTTGCGCTGCACCATCCACAGCTCCATCCACACACCCCATATCCAGTGTAAACCCGAAGGAATAAGACCGGGAGGCATGCTGACGGGAGCCAAGTTTCATCAACGGAGCAGGCCCACACTCCTTCACAGGCAAAAAGGCACGCTGTATTTGGGGAATCAAATGCACACAAAGCGGTGGCTGGACCATAGTCCGCTCCCCACTGACTGCATGGAACCGCTCTTCGAGCCTAGCACGACCACAAGGACCGTGCACCCGTCCCCTCCAGCAAAGTCCAACTGTCTCCTGGAGCCAGGATGGACGAGGTAGTGGGTAATAGACAGGTAGGGCTCCTTGTCAACATGCACATCAAGCGCAGCCACACCTGAGATGTCAAGCAACAGCCAATCACACAAAATGACGATATCGAATAAAGCAAACGCATATGACGACATGAAATACTCGTAAATGAGCATATAGAAGAAAATTGGTTATAAGTGAAATCCGAGATAGTACAAAATGTCCGGAGTTATTTTAATAAAAATACCAGCGCGATACAAATAAGCAAGTTTACCCCAATTTGCCATGAGCGACATGTGCAATTTTGGCGAAGATTACCAAGTACGCAGAACAAACCAATAAAATGTAACGAAAAAAAACGACAACCAACAAAAAGAAATATGAGCAAACCAAGAAAAAAGGAAACAAAAACTAAAATAAACACCCGAAAGCAAAAACCAAACAAAAAAATAAAAATAACAACACAAAAAGAACGAAAGAAAAAGCCGAAAAGAAAGAAAAAAAGTGAACAACCCAAAAACAAAAATTAAAAAACGAAAAACCAAAATAACAATAACCCCAGCCGAAAATCCCACAAACCAAAACAATAAAACACAAATCACACAAAAAAGTAAAACAACAAAACAAGAAAAAACACGCCACACCAGTCCCAGAAACCCCCCCCCCCCCCCCCCCCCCCCCCCCTCCACCCCCCCCCCCCCCCCCGCCTCCCCCTCCCCCCCCCCCCCACCCCCCACCCCCCCCCCCCCCCCCCCCTCCCCACCCCCCCCCCTCCCCCACCCCCCCCCCCCCCCCACCCCCCTCCTCCCCCCCCCCCCCCCCCCCCCCCCCCCCCCCCCCCCCCCCCCCCCCCCCCCCTCCCCCCCCCCCCCCCCCCCCCCCCCCCCCCCCCCCCCCCCCCCCCCCCCCCCCCCCCCCCCCCCCCCCCCCCCCCCTCCCCCCCCCCCCCCCCCCCCCCCTCCCCCCCCCCCCCCCCCCCCCCCCCCCCCCCCCCTCCCCCCCCCCCCCCCCCCCCCCCCCCCCCCCCCCCCCCCCCCCCCCCCCCCCCCCCCCCCCCCCCCCTCCCCCCCCCCCCCCCACTACCTATGACCAGCCTAAATACACCCCACCTAAAAAAGACCAAGCAAAATTACCGCCTCACCGACTGAGAGTCCTCTCACACCCCCCCCCCAACCGTATGCTTCTGCCCCTCTAGCTCAACACACCGACCTGTGAGTACAGACCCCCCCCGCAAGGATCAAATTACTGTGTGGAGAAAATTCATTCCACTTTATTTGGTTTGTTCTGCGTACTTGATAATCTTCGCCAAAAATTTGCACATGTCGCTCATGCAAATTGGGGTTAAACTTGCGTAATTGTATCGCGTGGGTATTTTAGTTAAAATACTCGGAAATTTTTGTACTTATCACGGATTCCACTTATAAACCAATTTTCTTCTATATGCTCATTTAGCGTAGGAGGAGGTATTCATGTCGTCATATGGTTTGCTTTAATTCGATATCGTCCATTTGAGTGATTGGCTAGTTTGTTGACATCCCAGGTATGGCATGCGCTTGATGTGCATGTTGACAAGGTGCCTTACCTGTCTATTACTACACTACCTCGTCCATCCTGGCTCCATGGAGACAGTTGGACTTTGACTGGAGGGGTGCGATGCACCGGTCCTTGTGGCCGTGCTAGGCTCGAAGAGCGGTTCCATGCAGTCAGTGGGGAGCGGACTACGGTCCAGCCACCGCTTTGTGTGCACTTGATTCCCCAAATACAGCGTGCCTTTTTGCCTGTGAAGGAGTGTGGGCCGGCTCCGTTGATGAAAGTTGGCTCCCGTCAGCATGCCTCCCAGTCTTATTCCTTCGGGTTTACGCTGGATGTGGGGTGTGTGGATGGAGCTGTGGGTGGTGCAGCGCAAAAGATCCACGGTCCTTCTGTAGGCGCAGGCGTCCTGTGGCTGGCCACAGTGACAGGCAAATCCGAAACCGGATGCCACCAACCAAATACATATGTAAATATATACGTAACTTTTAATGTGTATGTATGAGAGGATTAATAGGCAACCATAAATTGTTCCATATAAAGCAATGCTGTTGCGCTTCATTCTCACGAAAGGCATCTGAACAGTGAAAGACGCGTGGTACGGAAATTTTGATGTCAGGGTAAGGATGTCAGTAGGCCTTCTTGCAGACTGCTTGCGAAATGAAGTGTAAATGGAAACATATTTGCGCCGCATAACATAACTTGCAGGAAGCTTTGCTGCGCTGTTGATATTGAAGGACGACGAAATCAAAGTCCTCACCACGGGCTCAGGTTTAGTTTGCACAATCCTGGCTGGAGCTTATGAAATATGCAGAACCATATAATTATTTAATTACTGACATTAATCCTACGCATCAACCGTAAAATGCAAGTGGTTTGTGACATTACTATGGACCACGTGTCACCAAGTTCTAAAGCTTACCAAGCATAGTAAGCGGCCGTGAAATCTTGGTTGGAGAAGTGGCACTTGCAGGTGGTGGAAGCTTGGATTAGGGAACCAGCGCACAGAACCAATTAAACCAAGTGCTAAAGGATGCTAAAGGATGTGTTTGTGCCAGTGAGCATGGTTCCAGTTATGCTGCACAATGGGCCGTTCAAACTATTTGCAAATATTTGTGTCTAAGTGGTAGGCGTAGCAAACGCTCAGAACCCGCAAAGCGAGAATACTGAAAATTGGTTAATCATGTACGCTCCCCGGATGCAAGATGGCTACAAGTATTGAATGAATGGGGTGCATGGAAATGCTTTAAAAGCAAATGGTGCAAGCAAGTGCCGTTCACAATGCGCTGACCTACGGCGTTGAATGCATGACTGCGCCTTTATGGTACCGTAAGTTAACAGCATGGAGGGAGACCAAGTAGGGGGGCGAGCAAAGTGATACTAAATACCCAGTTAAGTGAATAATTAAAGCTTTTATTTTTACAAGGCGAGGCCAGCCTTTACAGGCAGGATAATTTTGATAAACAACGCGTGCACATAAATTTGCAAGGCTCCGCCATGATTGCCATAAATGTGTATTATTGTGTTGAGGGTATATAAGTATGTAATTGTGTGTGTGTGCACGTAGCTGTGTAGGTTGTACTTGTAATTGGGCTGTTTCCTTCTTGAATGTTTGATATCGACAGCAGCATGCGTGTGGAAAATTGATATCCGTGGATTGGAAAGGATTATCCGGATATCCACGGGGCAGTGACTTTATATTGTGGCGAGTCACAACCGCCACAAAATCACGACCGCCATGAAAGGCGATAGTTAACGGATACGGAAACTAACATATGCAGCACTGGTGCATTCCTTGTCCGTGTTAGCTGCGGTCGTCTATGTTGAAGTTGTCGCGGGACGGCTCTGTGACAGAAGCTGAAAGTGTAGCCAAGTACTAAATGTTTCTGCAGCTACGGTCTTTGAGCAACTGTAACAATTTAGGTAGCTAAAGCATAACAATTCGAAATGGAACAGCGGGTTATATAATGCTATGGTATATTACGGATCGAGTCATCGCACCTGTGATATAGTTGTCTGGCCCATGCATTAGGTTGACTGGGAAACCGACGCTTGCAAGGGGATGATAGGACAATGAGACAGAGGGTGGCCCTGAAAATGATGCTAGGGTCGTTTACGAAAGAATGTAAAAGCATCAGCTATGGAATGTGCAATTGTGGCAATGTCTGTTAACAAAGGACGCTACCGAGTTTAGCCAGACAGTGTGGGCGGAGGAAACGAGGCAGCAGAGCGGTAGTCACGACTAGGTTGAGTGAGTACTGGGTGATCGAATATGGAACGAGGTGTAAGTGAGGCACCTCGGCCTGTTAACGGCAGCTCATCGATGCTACGGTGGACGGTGTATGCGGAGGCAGTGAGACAGCAGAGCTGCGCTGACAATCCGGAGGCACGGGTATGGCATGAACTGAAATGTATCGGTGCATATAAGACAATTGTCTGTTAACAACAGAGGAAGTGCAGCCGGGCAAATGAATTGACACCTGTTGGTTGAAAACCAGCTCAGATATTAGCGGGTGTGAATGCTTTAGCAAGGACACATTTGACTAAGGTCGGAATGGTGTGGATGATCCTTGGCGTTCCCGCATGGTATGGATCTCGCACCCAATATTCTGCAGCTTGGTTAGCAAATCAGGTTGGTGGCCTCCGGTTAAGCAATTTTCCTGTCACTGTAGCCAACCACACGACGCCTGCGCCACCAGAAGGACCATGAGTGGCCAGCGCTGCATCACCCGCAGTTCCATCCACACAACCCATATCCACTGGAAACCCCAAGGAATAAGAACGGGAGGCATGTGGAGGTTGGCTACATTTCATCAACCTGGCCGGCCCACACTCCTTCACAGACAAAAACAAGCACGCTGTATTTAAGTATCAAGCGCACACAAAGCGGTGTCTGGACCGTAGTCCGCTGCACACTGAGTGCATGGAACCACTCTTCGAGCCTAGCACGGCCACAAGGACCGAACACTCCATCCCTTCCAGCAACGACCAACTATCTCCTTGAAGCAGGATGGACGAAGTAGTGGGTAATATACAGATATACACCTTTTCAACAGGCAAGCGAAGCGCAGCTACACCGGGACTGTCAAACAACAGCCAATCACTTGAAATGACATTATACATTATAATATTGTGTGTTAAAGTATACGGCTATGCAGACGTCCCTTTTCGCTAAATTAGCATATGAAGTAACTTGGTTAGTAACAAGACTGCGAGAAGTACAAAATGTCGAGAAATTACTCAAACATGCTGCAAACGCAATACAGTTAACGAAGATAACTACGATTAGCGTAAGCAATGTGGCCAATTAATAGAAGATTATTCAGGTGAACAGCACAAACCAAATTAATTGGAATGAAATTTGGCCAGCTTGAAAAGACCTAGTTTAATTGTAACTTGATTTAACCCAACTGCAGTGAAGAAGCATGATGAATGCAACCTCATATATGTATGAATACTGTAAAACAACAAAATTTATAAAAACGTGCTTGCGCTAATTCATTTTCCCGGAACGCATTCCTGCGATCTAGTACTTCCAGTAACCGATAACATTGCTGAAAATAGAATGCCCCACACTCAGAACTTTGGCATTTGCCAACAACCTAGCGAACACGGGAGCAATTGAACATTGCTTTGTGCTCAGTTGAAACAGTTCAGGGAGCACATGTTGCAGCCACACCTTGGACAATTGTACTTAAGCGAATTTTCAGTACAAATTTCACACTGACATATCGATACCATGTAATTTCGGTTTCAAGCACATATGGTTGGCGGCATCCGGTCACACATTTTATTGTAACTGTGGCCAACCGCAGGACGCCTGCGCCACCAGAGGGGCCATAGGTGGCTTGCGCTGCACTACCCATGGCTCCAACCATACACCCCATATCCAGTGTAAACCCAAAAGAATAAGACCGGGAGGCATGTGGAGGTTGGCCACATTTCATCAACCTGGCCGGCCCACACTCCTTCACAGACAAAAACAAGCACGCTGTATTTGAGTATCAAGCGCACACAAGGCGGTGTCTGGACCGTAGTCCGCTACACACTGAGTGCATGGAACCGCTCTTCGAGCCTAGCACGGCCACAAGGACCGAGCACCCCATCCCCTCCAGCAACGACCAACTATCTCCTTGAACTAGTATGCACGAAGTAGTGGGTATTAGACTGGTAGGCACCTTGTCAACATGCACATCAAGCGCAGCCATACCTGGGATGTCAAACAACATCCAATCATTCAGAATGTCGATATCGAATAAAGTAAACGCATATGACGACATAACTATTTGCTAAATGACCATATGGAAGAAATTGGTTAAATTTGAATCCGCGATAAGTACAAAATGTCTGAACGCTAGTTACAAACTACCACGCAATAAAATTACCCAAGCTTACCACAGTTAGCATGATCGACGTGTGCAAGTTGGGAGAAGATTATCAAGTACGCAGAACCAACCAAATAAAGTTGAAGGAATTTTCTCCACATTAAAAGACGTAGTTTTAGTGTGAGTTGGTTTAACCCAGCTGTGGTAAGGTGGCATCATGAATACATCATCAGCCTCAGCTGATATGTATAATC